TTTATTTATTTATTTATTTATTTATTTATTTATTTATTTATTTATTTGATTTGCCAATTGTTTACAAGATAATAAGTATAAATGTATACATAGTTGTGAATACATGAAATGGGTACATATAAGAAAAATAAAAGAATAGGAGAAACAATAGGACAGGGACGGTAGGCACGTTGGTGCGCTTATGCACGCCCCCTACAGACCTCTTAGGAAAGGGGTGAGGTCAATAGTAGACAGTCTAAGGTTAAAGTTTTTGGGGTTTGGGGAAGAAACTACAGAGTCGGGTAGAGTATTCCAGACATTGACCACTCTATTGCTGAAGTCGTATTTCCTGCAATCAAGTTTGGTGCAGTTTACTTTGAATTTGTATCTATTGTGTGCTCTTGTGTTGTTATGGTTGAAGCTGAAGTATTCATTGACAGGTAGGACATTGCAATGTATGATTTTATATACCATGCTTAAGTCAGACCGAAGACGGCGTAATTCAAGGTTTTCAAGTTCTAGAATTTCAAGTCTGGTGGCATAAGGTATTCTACAACGAGTAGAGGAGTGGGGAACTCTTCTTGTGAAATATTTCTGGACTTTCTCAATTGTGCTAATATCAGATACGTAGTGTGGGTTCCAGACTGATGAACTGTATTCGAGTATTGGTCTAGCAAATGTTTTGTATGCTCTGGTTAGTAGTGTGATATTACCAGAGAAAAAGCTACGTAGGATTAGGTTAACAACTCTTAATGCCTTTTTGGCTATATAGTTGCAGTGGGCTCTAGCACTTAGATCATTAGAGGTGAGTATTCCAAGGTCCTTTACAGAGCTTGAGTCATCAACAAGATCTTGACTATTCAGCTTGTATTTTATTTTCTGATTTTTTTTGCCAATATGTAAGACAGAGCATTTATTTGTTGAGATTTGAAGTTGCCATTTGTTTGACCACTCTGATACATAGTCAAGATCTTTTTGTAGGGTAGCAGTATTGTCTGTGGTATTGAACAGCTTTACATCATCAGCGAAGAGAACGCAATTGCTCTTAATATGATCACAGAGGTCGTTTATGTAGAGTATGAAGAGAGTTGGTCCTAGAACACTGCCTTGGGGAACACCACTATTGACAGGTACTGGATTTGATAGTACGCTCCCGATTTTGACCATTTGTTGTCTGTTTGACAGGAATGCTTCTATCCAGTTATTCAGTTGTCCAGAGATACCATAGGATTTTATTTTTAGGAGTAGTTTGTCGTGTACCACTGAATCAAAGGCTTTACAGAAGTCTATGTAGATTGCGTCTTTTGCTTTGCCCTGGTCGAGTTGTGTCGTCCATATGTTTTTGCAGTGTAAGAGTTGCAGATTACAGGATAGTTTTTTTCTGAAACCAAATTGTTTATTGGAGAGTAGGTTATTTGTCTCTAAGTGAAGGATGATGGATTGGTTAATAATTGATTCCATGACTTTACAGGTGACGCAGCATAAGGAGATTGGCCTGTAATTTTCAACTAGGCTTGGGTCTCCCTTTTTGAAGATGAGGATGACTGTGGCTTGTGACCATAGGTTAGGCAAGGAGCTGGTTCTGAAAGATTTTTCAAAGATTATGCTTAGAGGTTTGGCTATGGCAGTGGATAGCTTTCTTAAGAAGTAGGCACATATTCCATCCGGTCCAATAGATAGAGATGGTTTTAGGTTGCGTAGTGCTTTTTCAACATTGTCTTCTGTGAAATCGATATGTATTAGATCATTGTTGTTATCTGTGGTACGGCTAGGAAATACTGGGCATGATCCATTGCTGTTTACAAATACTGAGCCGAAGAATGTGTTAAAGATGTTGGCTTTAATGGTGTCGTCGTTGCAGTCTTTACCATCAGGTCCTATCAAGGGAGGGATGGACCTTGAGTCTTTTAGTTTGTTGTTTACAAAATTGTAAAAAGCACGGGTGGAATTGGTGCTTAGAAGGTTTTCCTCTTGTTTAATGTGATAATTGGTGCATTCGGTCTTTATCTGGTGGCATAAATTTTTGTATCGGTTTTTGAAATTGGCAACGTGATCAGATTTGTTTTTCCGCCAGAGTGATCTCTTTTTGGATTGAAGTTTCCTTATTGATATGGGTAATCTGCTTTTTTGTTTTGTTTTGGGAGTTGTTGTTGGTACATATAGTTTGATGACTCTTTTGACTTCAAGTAAAAATATGTTGTAATGGTCTTCAACAGTATTGCATCCAGTGAATAGAGATTGCCAATCAAGGGATGAGAGATCGTTGTGTATAAGATCATAGTTGCCTTTTTTGAAGTTACAATTGGGAATTACATCATTGTGGTGATTTTTGTGTGGACGTATGTTGAGACAAAAGTCAATCATATTGTGGTCGCTACTGGAAAAGGGTTCTTTAGTTTGTATTCCGTAAATTAAATTCAAACTATTGCAGAAGATGAGATCGAGGCAGTTGTTTAGTCTAGTGTTGTTGGTTACTAGTTGTTCCAGTCCCAGATTTGTAGTAGCATTGTAGAAGGTTGTGTGTATGATTTCAGTTGTACAATCATTTAGGGTCCAGTCAATATGAGGTAGATTGAAATCACCAAGAAAGATAAAAGGGTATGGGCAGGATGCAGTCCATGTTAGTAATGTATTTAGCTTGTTTACATGTTCGATGTCATAATCAGGTGCTCTGTAACATAGTAAGAATCGAATTGTGATATTTAAGGATAGTTCACAGATGATGGTCTCAGGAAGAGCAAGCTCCTGGGTAACTTGGATATTTTTTAGATGTAAGGATTTTTTATAGAAGATAGCAACACCACCACCTCGACGATTTTCACGATCTGATCGGTAAACATGATAGTCTCTTACTGTGGTAATGGAGTCGGGGAGAGATGCATTGAGCCATGTTTCACAGACAAATATAATGTCAAAGTTAGCCATATTTAGGAGGATGAGAAATTCAGGTATTTTATTCACGAGGCTTCTTGCATTGAGTAGTTTGCATTTAAGACCGGCAGTAGTTGGAATTGAGGTAGTTGGGGGCGTGCGTGCCTAGTCTTGGGTGATGGTGGATCGGTTGAGGTAGGGTTGTGGTTGAGGGTAAAAGCTGAGTATTGGGTTGCGTGGCTTACTTTTGATACAGTCAGCATGGTAGTCAATGTACAGGTCCTTCTCTCCATTGTCTAGACGGTTTTTGAGTTCAATGCGGAGTACACGGGAGCGGGCACGTTGCTGTATGGTTAGGTCAGGGCAGGGCCCAAAGAGAGGGGAGGGGGTTCCAGTCCACAGCCTTTGGCCCAACCCCTGTTGCTTCACTCTGGTAGAAAGCCTGCCAAAGAGAGGGGCTTTTTTTGCAGGAGGGGTCAGTGTGGATTGTTTATGGTAGGTCGGCCAGCAGGATTTCATAGAATTGCCCCAAGGCTGACCTTATTCTTGATGATCTGTAAGAAGCGGCTACTAATGGCAGTCATCGCTTGTGGGATGAAGACGTAGAGCTGCTTTGGAAGATTTAGAAAGCCTAGGCACAATAAATCAAGAGATTTTCCAACTGAAACACTGAAGCCTCCAAAGCCACGAACTGATAGTGGATAATCATGTGGCAAAGAAGCGGAGGGGGATGATCTTGCTCCGATTGGCCAGTTTCGGGAAGGACTTGCTGATGAACTCAAGATGAACTGGGAGGACAAAGCACACCAGGAATTCGGGAGGCTGTTCCAATGTTGCATATTAGTTGATGGGCAACTAGAAGAGTCGAGGAAATAAAAGGAAAGTGGTTTTACAGTCCCCTCTTTCCAATGGCTTCCTCAGACTCCAGCCCCAGGAAATGGAGGCACGTGGGAGACAGGAGATCCCTGCAGAGAACCAGAGGAGGGGCCTTGGTCTACGTTTTTAGTGTGGCACCCCAAGACACGCAACGGAGGCCTACCTTGGGTGGGTGGGGGAGCCGAGCGGAACTGAGGAAGGCACCCAAGTGGCTGCAGAAACCTGGCAGATTCTGCTCCCAAGAGGCAAGCAGGACGGACTAAGAAGGGCTCAGGGAGTTGTATTGTCCGCGCGCTCTTCACCCGCAGAGAAATATAGCTCCCCCCCAGTTGAGAAGCAGCCCTCGGGGGGGGGGGGGGTGAGGGTCAGGGTGAGTGCAGCAGTTGAGGTGGCTCGTGGTTAGAGAACCGAGGCTGGCAGGTGGGCACTCCTTGGCACTCCTCGTCCTCTGCCACATCTCAAGCCCTCCGCTGCAAGGAAGCAAATGATCCCATGGAATCCTTGCCCCCTTGGGCATCTGCAGAGGGTTGGACGCAGATTGGCTGGGGGTCAAGGGCTTACCTTCTGCCTGCCTCGGGAGCATCCAGGCAGGGCTTCTTCCCCTGCCTCTCCTCCTAGAACCCTCCGGATCCTCGGCCAGGAAAGTCGCCCACCTTGCTGATGTTGGAGAGTCGATGTGCCTTTTTGTCCCTGGCTCCTGATCCCAGCCGAGTGCATGTTTTCATGATTGCCACTTTATATTTTATATATTAGATATGGTTTGATTTCATAAGATTTGCACCCAGAAAAGACACCCTGTTTGAGTTGTCTTTAGATTTATCTTTTACCTTGTGTAAAATATGCAATCAATATAAGTTAAAAAAGGAAAGAATGAGATTACTCTTTCTAATTTGCTAACTTCTTCTTAATTTGTGCTGTAAATTGGTATTCATAGGTTTTTTTTACTGACTTATTAACTCTGTTGCACTTCAATGGCAATATGTCACAGCTCTTTTTTTTTTTTTTTTTAAAGAGAGGGTTCATTAGAGTGCAGCATGAGGGGCGCAGAGCCAGGAGATGACCTGGGATTTGAGAGGGAAGGGAGGGAAGACACGGCCATGATCACCTTCATTGAAGTCTGCCTCCTGGTCTGCTCTAGGGCAAAGGGCTGCTGCCCCTGGGGCTGAGCTGCCGCCCTCTCCAGCTCTCCAGCCCTGCACAGAATCACTGCTCACTTGGGACGTGCAGATAGGAGGGAGCCCCCAAGGGATGCTGGGAAATCATGTGGATGTGTTTAAATGAAAAAAAGGGAGAGGTGGGTATGGTGGCCCTACATTTCTCAGCTCCTTGTTCTGCCCTGAGGATGACCGGCCAATAAAGGATTCTGTTCTATTCAGCAAATGGCCCAGAGCCAGAAGGAGGTGGAACGGGAACAAGAGGTGCTGAAGCAGCAGGAGGTGGAGTGCCGGAAGTTTGAGGCTCGCATCGATGTCCTGACCAAGAAAAGAGACGCTTTGGAGAAGAAGAAGGAGACGGCCATGAAGAAGGTACCAGTGGTGGGGCTGCTGCTCTGCAGCCGTCTCGCTCCGGGGGTTTGTGAGCCTGGGTGGGGTGATGCTTGTGTTTGCACTTGCGTTCATTTGCCTCAAGAGGGCAAGGGCTCCTCCCTCCCCCCCCCCCCCCCCCGGGGGGGGGGGGGGGGTTTCCCCCCGCGTGCGTTCGCCGGGGGGGGGGGGGGCCCCCCCCCCCCCCCCCCCCCCCCCGGGTGTTGGCGGGGCGTTTGCTCTCCATGGGGGAAGGGCTGGGCTCCTGGCGTTCCCCTCCCCATGCCCTCTCTTCAGAGCTAAGAAACGGGAAGCCTCAAGCCAGTATCTCGGGTCTCTCAGTAGAGCAACCTTTGGGGGCTTTCATCGTCACACCGACTGGGAAGTCTGTGTCTACATTTCTTCATGGTTTCAGTTTAGCTTTGATTGAACGGAAAGGGCTCAGAAAAAATGGAATCCACGAGAAACCTCTGGTCAGGTGAAAAGAACACCTGGAAAAGCAGACCGGCTCCCAGTTGGCAAAGGATGGGGCCAGGGCCCCACACCCTCCTCCCCTTCTTTCTTCATCCTGTGTGTGTGTGTGTGTGTGTGTGGGATATGCGTTAGGGAGCCTGGATTGGAAGGTGAGTCAAGTGGAGGAAGAAGCGCCCGTAAACTCTGCTCTGCTGGCGATGCTATCCTGGCAGCTGAAAAGGCCCGGGATCCTTGCACGCCCTTGCACTAAGAGTCACGAGCATCGTGAAAACACGGGACCAAAGCTGACTACGTAGGAGACCAAAGTAAGGACAGCAGACAGAACAACTGGCCTCAGAATCGACAAGGAAGGTGGCAAAGTGATGGGGAGCTTCTGCCTGTGAGGGTTAATGGTCAGCCGCAAATGACAAGCAGTCAGAAACTAAGGGCCAGATGAGCAGCCGCCTGGAGAAGATGCTCCAATGTGACGATGGCTCTGTGCTCTCGAGGGCCAGACTCTTCCCTGTGACCCTCTATGGAAATGGATGCAGGGCGTCAAAGAAGCGAGAGGAGAGGAGCCTTTGGGCTTTGGAGGGTCCAAACCCCTCGTGGAATGGATCAACCCAGAGTTCTCCCGGGCTCACACCATCCTCCTCTGGACCCCAAAAGCAGCGCTGCTGCTCGGGAGAAGGCCTGCCCATGCTGGGGGGCAGTGAAAGCAAAGGCTGGCAGCAAGGGGGAGCCCCTCGGCCCCAGTGGCTGCGAGTGGGAGACTGGGAAGGGCGGATTGGAGGCACAGGCTCATGGGGAAACCCCCCCAGTGGGGGGGGGGGGGGGGGGGGCACTAGGAGTTGAAAACAACTTGATGACACATCATTTTTAAAATGTATTATCTGGAGAAGAGGGCTGAATTTGTGCTGTCAAGCTGATGGGAAGAGTCAGTCTTAGTTTAAAAATATGAGGATCACTACAAGGCAAAGGATCCTTGTTGAGCTGGCAACAATACCCCCCCCCCCCCCCGGCTGCAGAAAGCCTCCCAGGCGGTGACGCAGGGCCCGGTTCTAGCGGTGTTTTCATTATTCCTGGAGAGGGAGGGGCCTGTCCTCCTCATTTGCCCCTTTCTCACAAAGCCATTGCTAAATCCAGCCATACAGGACAATTTTCACCCAGCTTCTCTCTTTTTAGAGCAGGTGGTCGTCCCATAGCTTCAGAGGATCCGGGATGCAAGCAGCCCGTTTGGGCTTCTTTCATCAAGTCTCCAGCTAACGCATGGGACCAAAACGGCATTGGTTGCCGTTTTGGGTGACCTCTGGTGGGAGAGAGATGGGCAGGAGCATTCATCCTGGTCCTTCCCAATCCCTCGGAGGCTTTGGGAACCATGGGCTATGGCGTCGTGGACCAGGTCCGGGAGTTGGGCTGAGCAGCGCTGCCTTGGGCTGCTGCTTCCTCTTCCTCTGAGGTTGGTTCCAGCAAGCGTTGGTTGGGAGCGAGAGGTCCAAGCCCTGGGCCCTGTGGGGTTTAGCGCGCTCTCCACTCCTGATTCACATCTCCCTGAAACCAGTGGCTCAGCTGGCCTGTGGCTATAGAATGAGGGTGCATCCGTCAGGGTGCCTTCTGTCACCCTGGAAGGGAGGCTCTCTTTGCTTTGGTGGCCTCCAGGGATCGGTTGGGACTGCTACTCCCGGACCACAGCAGCCTCCCTGCCTCGGGTTCCAAGACGACAGACTGCTTTCACTGGGAGGGAGGGGTTTGAGATGGTCCCGGCTCCCATGACGGCCAGGGCCAGGGCCAGATCATCCCGAGCCTCCTTCGGGACAGGGGTCTCAACCTTTGGATCCGGTGTTCCCGATGGAGCAGGGGCCAACTGCTTTCTGTGGGGTTGCCTTGGATTACGCTCTTGATCCCCAGTTGGCATTTCTGCCCCAGGCCAACTAAGCAAAGCCATAAACCTCTTCCTGGGGCTGCCCTTGAAGAGCCTCTGGAAGTTGCAGCTGGTACAGAATGCAGACCATTCTGGGCACTCTTCAATCCGGGCACTTTACACATGGGCTCTGCCAGCTGCATTAGCTGTCACTGCTCCTGGGTTCAGTTCAAAGTGCTGGGAATGACCCGTCAGGCGCCAGAGGGCCCCCCTCCCCCCACTGCATCCAGCTCTCCTATCAGGGCTGGCGGTGGGGCAAGGCAGGTTGTGGGTTCCGTCTGTGACAGAGTTCCCTCTGGCAGCACTCGGGGAAGAGCGCTTGCCCTTTGGCGATCACCTAACCCAAGCTCTCTCCCCCGGGGGTTGGGATGGGGGGCTGGCCCCAAAGAAGGCCCCGGGACAGAGCGAGGGTCTGCCCAGCCACCCCCTTCTTTTCAGGTGAGCCAGGACTACAAGGCTGCCCTGGCTGCCCTCCGAGTGCAGGACATCGAGGAGCTGCGAAGTTATCGGCAACCCCCCGCTTTGGTGGTCCAGGTGACCGACCCCCTCTGCCTGATGTTCCAGGTGGAGCCCGGGTGGGAGAGCGCCAAGCTTTTGCTCAACAAGGAGGATTTCTACCAGGTGAGAACCCCCTCCTTCCCTCCCATCCTGGCTGATGCTGTAAATGGCCCAGAAAGACATGCAGCCAACCCTAACACCCCTCCCCCCCCCCCCGCTTCCTTCCTGACTGAGGGTTTGTGCAGCTTTGCCCTTCTTGGTCCTTTCCGAGTCTCCAAAGTGTGTGGTCCAGAGGTGGCCGATGCTTGGAAAAATATTGTCACAAGAACTTTACCTTCTGCAGAGAAAGCAAATTTCAGTGGTATCAATCCAGAATTCATTTGTTTTGATTACTTGTTAGATCTGCTCCCTTTATTTTATATCCACAGCAACCCAGTGAGGTGGGCTGGGCTGAAAGAAAAGGAGGAAGGTGGGGGCTGGGGGCAAGCACCCAGAAAGGTGCCCGGGACAGTCTCCCTGCGGCTTCTGGCCCTTTAACCACCAGGCAGGGGCTGACTTCCTCCTGCCACCATTACAGAGCAGCACATACATCAGAAGGGTGGAGTGATTCCCACTCTCTGCCCAAGGCAGACCCACTCTAGCAGGGGTATCAAATTCTGTTGTTTTTTTTAGGGCCGCATCAGAGTTGTGTTTGACCTTGGGGGTGCGTGGCCAGGGGGCGTGGCGAGAGCGACATCACTCATGTCAGGGGAGCCTGTGGTGGCCCGAGTACTCGGCCAGCGAACATGGGCTCCCAAGCCCCATTTTCAGCTACAACGGCTTCCTGCCCCTCTCTGCACTACAGCATCCACCCTCCTCCTCTCTTCCCCTGGCTAACTCTGTGTTCCTTCTGTCTAGCCTCTCTCCTTCCTTTCTCCCGCTGGCGCTGGCTCTGGCGCTGCCTGCTGGGGCAGCGGGGAATACGCCCACAACCCGTCCATTACGTGAGGGAGGGCCGCTCTTATCACATCTCCCTTGGATGTCTTCTCTGCCAGCCGGCCCAGCGGCCGGCTCCTACACAAAACCAGACCCTATAACTCTTCCCCATAGGGCCGTGCTTCCGGGCCCTTCATTGCCTTGGGAGCCCTGCTCGGAATCCTCTCCTCTTTGTCGGCATCCTTTTTGAACTGTGGTACCCAGAACCAGATGCAAGACGCCAGGAGGAATCTAAATTTGAACTGGAAACTGGACAATTGGAAATGGTCTCAATGTATTGCTCATCCAAAAGCATTTAGAACCCTTCTGAGCTGGATAAACCTGTGCCCTAAAGCAAGTTTGTATGGCCTTTCTCGTGGTCAACACCAGATACGCCGTGACGGTTCTCTAGAGGGGGTTTTCCCTTTTGCCCAAGGAGACCCAAAGGAAAGGGAGGGTGTGCGATCCACGGCAACTATGGGGACAGTGGGAAGCCGGCTAGATCTACCTGGTTATTCTGATGCTGTTCTAAAAGGCCCTGGAAGAGGGTACAGATGTGAACCAGGCTGCCCAGGATGGGTGACTATAGACGGCTGTTTTTATCTTAAGAGAGCGTTCCTTTTTTTACTGCTCAGGTTGGATGGCGACTGAAACTCTATTGCCCCATCTGCCATCTAATTATCTACAATCTACCATTCTCTCTCTCTCTCTCTCTCTCATTTTATCATCTATGTCAATATCTGGCCCAAGGACATGGGTCACTAAGCACATGTACGACAGCCGCCCTTCCTGCAGGCACTGGAAAAGTTGCTGTCTGGGCAATTTAAGCCTTTGTGCCACTGACATGAGCTCACTGCCTGCCCTCGGGCCCAGAGATCCAGCCCCAGGTGTGCGGTGGCCTCCTCCGACGTGCCTCCAAGCCAGGCAGGGCCATAGGGGCCCTGAGGCCACTCACGCTGGGAAGGGTCAGGCCCTCTCCGTCCCGACTTGTTTTCCCAGACCTTCTCTCCCTTCCAGGATCTGGTCTTCTACCCCAAGGAGACTCTCGGCATGCAGCTCTTCCAGGCTCTGGGCCAAGTGGTCGACCAAAAGGGTTTGTCTGTGGCTGCCATCCAGAATGCCAGCCAAGCAGCTGCAGCTCTTTATCAATGGATCTGCTCCGTCTACTGGTACCACCGGGCGCTACGTGAGTGGCAGCCGGCCATGCTGCAGCTGCAGTCCTGCGAGGACCAGATCAACGCAGAGAAAGTCAGCCTGGGCGACCGGCGCCTTCACTCAGAGTACCTGCGGGACACCACCCAGGCCCGCATCCGGGAGCTGAGGCAGAAGCAGGAGCACCAGGAGAAGCTGCTTCAGCAGCTCACGCAGTCCTTGCAGGCCAAAGAGGAGGCCAGCACAGTGGAGAGCTCCGTGGCTGAGCACCTGGCCAGCTGGACGACCATGGCCAAGGTAAGGAATGGCTGAGGCCAGAGGCCCTGGTGCCTTCTCCTGGGAAGGGTGGCTGCCTTCTAACCTCTCCTCTTCCCTCCCAGGACCTGGAGTTCCAGCAGAGCACGGTGCACGGCGATGCCCTTCTCTCTTCTGCAATTGTCTCCTACCTGGGTCCTTTCTCCCCACTGCGGCGGAAGGAGCTGCTGGAGAAGTGGCAGGCCATGTGCGAAGGGTCCCGGGTTCCCCTGGGCCCCTGTGATGTCAGCTGGCTCCTGCAGAAGGAATTGCCCTGCCCGGGCCAGGCGTCCTCCGGCCCACCGCTGCTCTCACTGCGGAAGCCACTGAAGGTGGCTTCTTTGCTCAGTTCCGCTCAGCAGCAGCGCCTCTGGGATCGGCTGCACAAGCCGAAGGATGCCGAGAGTCGCCTTACCGCCATGATCGTCCATTCCAGCGTCCGCCTGCGGGCCCACCGGTGGCCTCTCTTGGTCGACCCGGACAAGCAGGCCCAGACCTGGCTGCTGATGACTTCCTCTTTGGAAGAGGGTGAGGCAAAGGAGGGGAGCGGCCCCCAGGCACTGCCTTCCAGGGCTCAGTGCTCATCAGCCCCTCCTTTGCAGAGGAGTCCCAGGCCCAGGCCCTCTCTGACCTGGTGCCGGACATGGTGGAGCAAGGGGGCAGCGATGAGGTCCCCGAGGACAACCTGGAGATCTTGTCCCTGACCAGCCCTGGCCTCGAGCAGAGCCTCAAGGACGCCATCAAGTTCGGTGAGTGAGACCTGGGACAAGGTTCGTGGCAGTGCCTGGGGCAAGTTGGGCAGAGGCACCGAGGCCGGCCCTGAGCGCCTTTGTCGTCTTCCTCCTCCAGGCAACCCTGTGCTGCTGACCGACATTGAAAAGGATGTTCCCTGGTGTTCGGCCCTCCAGCAGTTGATGGAGAAGGGACCCTTTTGGGGCTGCTCAGAGGGCAACATTTTCTTCCCTGCCTCCGAAGAAGACGGAGGGGGAGCCGAGCACCTGCCCGTCACGCCTTCCTTTTCCTTGTACCTGTGCACCGAGCTGCCTGTTAAGTCTTTGGCTGCAGGTGAGAAGGAAATCGACCAAGACCACCCAAATGGCTGTCACGGGTGTGGGTGAGAAGGCGGACAGCTGCTTGGTTTTATTGTGGAATAATTTTTAATGTTTCTAATAGCTTGTTTTAATTGTACCCCGTCCAGACTCACGTTCGTGAGTTCAGCCACTACATAAAAGAGGCGAATGACACAAATAACTAGATGGAGGTTCAGCCCCCCAGGAGGAGGAGGAGCTGTGGGGGGGCGGGGGGGAAGAGGGGCTGCAGGGAGTCTTCCCTTCCACTGCAGAGGTGTGGAAATGTACTGCTGGAAAGAAATAATTTATTTAAGAAAGACCAGGCCCCGCCCCGGCCCCAAAAGGGATCATTCTTGAAATGACACTCGCGTTATACCAAGAATGATACGATATTTAGGATGATCGGTCCAGAAGGATCACCTGCCCGGTAAGGAATTTTGTGAAGAGCTCGTCTCAGGAGCATTTGGGTGAACATTAGAGGAAAAAGAAAGAAGGTTGACCCGTTGAGGCATTTGGGCAAATATCTCGCAAGAAACCAAGGGGTGAGAGGGGATTCCAGCTCTCTGAACATCAGCTGTGAACCCAACTCTGCAGCAAGTGGGAGACCCAGAGGGTCAGCGGACTGCTTGCTTTTCCAGGGGGTGGATCGGGAAGCCCGAGACCAGCCCTTTGCCCTTCCTGGGAGGGGGAGGGAGGGAAAGCGGGGAAGGGTCCCTGAAGAAAAGCGGCCCCTGGGATTCCCCATATTCCAGCAGGGCGGACTGAGGGGAGCCAGAAACTGGGGGGTGGTAGTGGGGGAGGAGGTCGGGATCTTCTTCCACGAATGGAAATTCTGAAGGAAGAGGTGAAGAAGACACACACACACACACACCCGAGGCCGACAGTGCCAGTGGGCAACCCCTCTTGCTCTTGGCAGAGGCCGACCATTCGCTCCTGAAGAGGCTGAACCTCATCGACCTCAGCCTCAGCCGGGGGGCCCTGGAGGACCGGCTGCTGGGCGAGGTGCTGCACGTGGAGCGCCCGGAGATCCTGAAGAACCAGCAGATCTTGTATCTCGGGATCCTGCAGCTGGAAGGCAAGCTGGAGGCCACGGAGGTGATTCCCTGGATGGACCTACCTGAAAGGCTTGGGTGGCTGCCCTTCCTCAAGCACAGCGCTGGCCGGGTGTGGCGCAGCACAGCCATAAAACCACCAGGCCACCAAACAAAAACTAAAAAGCCAGCACCTCAGTCAACCTCTCCGCCCCCCCCGCCCCCCCCCCCCCCCCCCCGAATGCCCCCTTCCTGCCCCCCCCCCGGGGGGGGGGGGGGGGTTGAAGAACAGCCCTGATGGCAGCCCTCTGGAAGGCTGAGTGGGGGGGGGAATCCAAGGGGGGGGGGCAGGCAGCATGGAGCAGGGACGCTTCCTAATCCTGCCCTCGGGCAAAGAAGGGGCCGGCCCCAGCCTAGCCAGTCCTTTGGGCCCACCTCACAATGCCCTTCTCCCGCCTGCCTTCCCTGCAGGAGGAGCTGATGGACCTGATTTCGCAGCCGCAGCGGTCGCTCTTGGAGGAGGAGAACTTCATGCCGATCGTGCGGCTCCTCCAGACCCAGATCCAAGCGCTGCATGCCACGCACAGGCACATGGTCTCCCAGCACCAGGACCAGGAGGTGCTGTGCGGCAGGTATCGGCCAGTGGCCTGCCTGGCGGTGGGGCTGCACGAGGCGCTCCAGCAGGTGGGCCGCCTGCACCCGCTCTACCGCTTCCCCACTGACTTCTGCGTCAGCCGCGTGCGGCAAGCCCTGATCTCAGCCAAGCGCCAGGAGGCCAGCAAGCAGGATTCCCTGGAGGCCCGGTTGATGGAGCTCAGCAGGATGGTGCTCTGGCACCTGCTCACCCAGGCCCTGCCCTGCCTGCGGGAGGCACACCGTCCGCTCTGCTTCTTCCTGGGAGCCGTGACCATGCTGCAAGTGCTGGGGGACATCAGCCCCCTGGAGTGGCTGGCCTTTGCCCAGGGCCTGCGAGACCCGGCCGCCAAGGCCCTCCTCCTGCCCCCGGCACCCAGCCCGGCCTGCCCCAGCTGGGTGAGTGCGGAGGCCTGGGAGGAGTGCGCCTTGCTGGAGAACCTTCCTGGCTTCCATGGGCTGCTGGCCTCTCTGGCCGAGAAAGCAGTGCAGTGGCAGGAGTACTTCTCCCTGCCCTCCACGGTGGTGGGGCCGGCTCTGTGCCCCAGCCATGCGCACCTCACCCCTTTCCAGCGTGCCATCCTTTGGCGCATTCTGTGCCCCAGGGCCATGTGCCAGATGGTTTCCGATCTTACCACCTGCTTGCTTGGTTGGTCTTTCACTGAAAAAATGGCAGCCGTCAGTCCCTACTCCTATAGCCGCACCAACAAGCCAGTCATCTTGGTCACGGTCCCGGCCGGATCACAGGTCTCCTTTACGCATCCTTTGCTCTGGATCCAGCAGATGGCAGCCCAGCGGGGACGGAAGGTGAGTGGGGCCTGGCAGGAAAGAGAGGGAAGAGGTGGGCAGACCCGAAGGGGTCTCCATGTCCCTCACTGGCAGCTCTGCCCTGCAGGGAAGAGTGGTCGTCATCTCCTTTGGTACCCCAGATGCGTCCCGGCGTGTCCAGCGAACGTTGCCCATTTGCACCAAGAAGGGGAAGTGGCTAGTCCTGGACAACTGCCAGCTACTGAGCTGCTGGGATCCTGAGCTTCTGCAGCAGCTGGACCTGATATTGACCACCCCAGCAGGTCAGAGGCCGGAGGGGCTGCGGAAGTTGGTTTCCAGCAAGTACAGGAGGGAGGACCCTTCCTTACTCTTAACTTTTCCGGTGCAGGACTGAGCAAAGGGGCCCCCCTGCAGATCCACCCCAAGTTCCGGCTCTGGCTCATCACGTCGCTCGATGCCCCTGACTCCGTGCCAGGTACAGCCAGGAGGGTGAAGGGGCCAGGGCAAGAGGGTCTCCCCCAGAGATGAAAGGGCAAAGGATGTGGACCAGCTGATCCCCTCTGCTCCCCCGTGTACCCAGGGCCCGTGCACCGCTGTGCCACCACCTTCTTCTGCGAGATGCCCCTGGAGCTGAAAGGCATCCTGGCCCGCACTCACCAGTGGCTTCAGGGACAGGTCCAGAACCTGGACACGGAGAGGCGACTCTCACTGCTTGTCCTCCATGGGGTCCTGCTGTACCGGCAGAACTACGCCCCATGGACACAGGCCGCATCCTACCTCTGGTGAGTCAGGGGGCTGCCCAGAGGTCCTTCGAAATAGGAACAGGGAGGGAGATCCCGCCTGCCCCGTGGCAGGAAGGCCACAGCTGTGGCGCTCAGAGCGGCTCAAGCCCCTGCACCCCTCTGGCGGCTGGGCGGGGGACGGGGGCGGCTGGCTCCTCTGCTCTCTAGGCTTTGCTGGCCTCTGAAGGGCAGCGGGGCAGGAGAGCCAGGCGGGCAGCATCCCCCCCCCATCCTTCAAGGCAGGCCAAGGAGGCTGGTAGCACCCCAGAAAGACTTGTCCTCTTGCAGGCCCACTCGGTCCAAGGCTGTACCCAGAACAAGACTTCTAAAAACAGCCCTTAATCTGTACACCTGGCGGCGCAATCGCCACCCCTGATTTTAAACGGTGGGAGTCGAAGGGAAGCTCAGGCGGCCTCTAAGCCAACCTGCTGCTATGTGCAGGACCATCTCACCCTCTGGAACCTCCTGAATCCCCCCTTCCCTCGTTTCTGAGCTCTGGGTTCAGGTTCTGCCTTTGCAGGCCACGGAGAATAAGCCCCTTCTGCCTTCTCTCTGTGTTAAAGAGGTTTGAGGAGGGATTTTCACACACGTGGCCCTCGGTCTGCCTTTCTTTCCGGCTAAGCCTATCCCACTGCTCAGAGGGCCCGTTCGCCATTCCCCTGGTCTGGCAGTGCCCTTGCTTGGCTGGGCTGCCCAGAAGCAGCTCCTCTTCAGAAGGGCCCCAGGGAAGCCAGGTCAGGCGGGGGTCCGGACCTCGTCACCCCGTGAGCCTCCGCAGCCGAGGCCAAGGAAGCTGCTGCTGCTGGCTAAGGGAAGGTCCCTGCACGTCCCCCTGCCCGCCTCTCAGAGCCCCCCACCTCCCCGAGAAGAGCAGGGCTCCTGGCCCGCTCTGTCTTTCCCGCAGTGTCCCCCCCAAAAAGGCTGCCCTCCCCTCGCGCCTCAGTCTCTCCCCTCAAACCCTCACAGAACTGCTGGCCTCTGCAGATCACAGACGGAAACCGCGCCAGGGCATCCAGCTCCTTTTCAGCTGTACTGCACGTAGTGCTCATTTAGTGACTGCCTCGTTTAGTGATCGTTCACTTACAAATAAAACTTTACAAGCAGTTCTCACACTTTTGACCTTTGCAGGCCTGTAAAACAAAGGAAGGTTGAAATAAGGTCAACAAAGGGCAGTCGTGGTTTCACTTAGCCACCGCTTCACTTAATGATGGGTGCCAGTCGTGGCTGCTGACATCCTTCAGAATCCCTTTAAATTATTTGTTTCAACCAACTGTTCAATCCTGCCCAAACCCCTTCACCTCGTTTGCCTCTGGCATACAAGCGGAGGAACTTCCACAGCCCACCTGGAGCAGCTGAGGGGGAGGGGAGCTCGCTCTTCTGACTCCCCAGCAGCACCAGGGCATGAAGTAGCCCCACAGAAACGAGCCCCCCTGAAGTGCCCAATGAGGCTGAGGAGGAGGAGGGAGTGGGCGCTTTGGGGTGCAAAGCAGTGCTGGCCCCGGGTGGAAGAGGAAGAGGCGCTGGAGCAACTGGGACTGGATCTAGATCAGCCACCATGCCAAAACCTCGTCCCCCACGCCATCTTCTTGGCGTTTCCACGTTTTTCGAACACCCGCCACCGTCTCTAATCCTGTGTGCAAATCAGGGCCTCCCTCCCTGCCTCCCAAGAGCCCCGAGGCCACTTCACGAGAGGAGTAAGGCCTGACAGGGACCTCCCACTTCCCAAGGCCTCTTCCCACTCTCCTTCCCCCCCCTCCCCCGGGGTGCCTTCGGTGCTGCTGGCTCCTCTTCCTCCTAGCATTGCTGGCCTCCCTGCTGTTCTGTCCGGCCAGGAGTCACGGGGAGATCTTGGCAGGCCTCAGGGCTCTCGAGAAGCTGAGCTGGATGGCTGACCCCTCTGAGGAAGCGCAGCTGCAGCTGGCAGGTAGGAAGAAGCCCCCTTTGGGGACCACCAGCCCCTTGGGGACCACACGAAGTGGGGAGGGGGGCTGCACCTTCCCTCCCTCTCTTTCCCCACAGGGACCATCCTCTATGGAGGCCACGTTCTGGATGAGGGGGATGCGCAGGCAGTGGAGAGCTTGTGCCAGCAGTGCTTGGCTCCCGCTTCCCACGCACTGCCCGGCTCTGGCCTTCAGATGCTCCTTGCTGCGGTCATCGGCCACGCAAGCCCAGGTAAGAGGTGGCCGTGCAGAGCCTCGCCGGCAGAAGGCAGGATGGCTCGGCCCTGATCTGGCCTGTCTCCCCCCCCAAGGGCTCTTCGAAGATGAGGCCTCGGCAGCCACCCAGGGGCGGATGCAGCAGCTGCCCAGCCCCATGGATCCTGCCTGGGTAGGCCTGTGTGGCAGCCTGCAGGCCCAAATGCTGGCCGACCGCAGCCACGCCCTGCTCTCGGCCCTGAAGGCGTCCCAGGGCCTTTGGCCTCGCTGGACCTGCCAGCCCCCGACAGCGCTGGAGCAGCTGGCCAAGCGAGGCCTGGAGGTGGTGCAGGAGCTGCAGGAGCAGCTGGAGCAATGTGGCCGGGAGGTGGGAGCCCGAGGGCGCCCCCCCCACGGGCAGCCCCGCCCCAAGCCCCGCCCCCTGCAGCGCTTCCTACAGGAGGAGGCGGGCGCCTTCCTGGCTCTTCTGGAACAGGTGGGCAGGGACCTGGCCTGCGCCCTGCGGGGGCTGCCCTGCTCTTCAGCCCGCTGCAGAGCCCTCCTCCAGGCCCTGCAGCGGGGGCAGCTGCCCCGCCACTGGCTAGCCTACATGCCCACCGGGCCCGAGCCCTTGCAGGACTGGCTGGGGACGCTCCAGCGGCGGGGCGAGCTCCTGTGCCGCTACCTGCGCTCCATTGGGGGGGAGCCGGTGGTCTGCTACCAGCTGGCAGCCTTCCAGCACCCACAGCGCCTCTTCCTGGCCCTGCTCCAAGAGACGGCCCGGGCCGAGAAGCAAGAGCTGGGGAGCTTCCGCCTGGACCAGCAGGTGAGGGCAGCCTCTAGGGCCAGGGGCAGAGGCGAGGCGAGGCGAGCCCAGGCCCTTGGCTGTGATCCCCTCCCTTTGATTTGCAGGTGCTGCCCAGCCTGCTGTCCCCCAGCACTGCCCCCGAGAAGGGCCTCTACCTGGGTGGCCTGGAGGTCCATCATGCTGCCTGGAACGCCCACAGTGGCCACCTCCAGGAGACCCTCTCGGCACAAGCCTGTCAGCTGCCTGCAGTTTGGGTGAAAGCCAGCCAGGAGCCCTGGGCGGAGGCCTCTGTCTCCTCCAAGTACCAATGCCCTGTGTACTTGGGGACCCCCCAGGCAGCCCTGGATCTCCGCAGTCAGCGGGTCGTCATGCATCTGGCTCTCCCTTCCAAGGTGCCTCCTGAGCTGTGCACCCAGCTGCGGGTTCATGCCATCAGCATTCTGCGGTGAGAGGCCACCGCAAGGGCCAAACTACGGGAGAAGCCCTGGGGTCAAGCTGCCGCAACCCTTCCCCCTTGTAGGCAGAGAGATTACCACTGTAACTACAGAAATAAAACCATATATTATGAGTGTGTACAAAACAGTCCCCCGGTGCTCTCCCGGTTTGCCAGCCACGGAGGTCCTGCTGCATCAATTATAAATAAGGTGACCTCGGACATGCCCCGTCCCCCCCCGTCCCCCAGTGGGGCCACCTGGCCTGCAGGCTCCCCAAACAGTACAGTCCCTCATTTCAGGTCCACATCAAAGTCCAGCACCAGCAGCTTGGTTTCTTCAGTGCCGTTGCGGCTGCCCACAGCACACACGAGCTTGGTGTTGGAGGCCCGGATACGCCAGACGACTCCCCCGCTGCCCCCACTTTCCAGGGCAACCAGGTTGCGCACAAATTCTCCCGTCTTGAGATCCCACAGCTTGACTGTGCCGTCGTCTGAGCTGGTCACGACAAACTTGGAACTGAACTGGAGGCAGGTGACTGCGCTCTGGTGCTTACTGGGCCCTGCAAGGAGGGGGAAGGTGGGACTGTGCACCTGCCGCCCTTCCACATGAAGCCGCCCTTCTGCGTGGCCCCAACTCCCCCACGCCCAGCTGCCGGAGCTCCTTCCAGGCATGGCATGCAGCCCTCCCTTGGCAAGAGCAGCCACTGATGCAGCCCGACATGGCCTTGGCACTTCCCCCAAAGCAGCCTGGCAGAGAGCGGCCACTGCCAGCACGTGGGAGCCAGCTTCCTACATCCAGGGATGACCCCTTGGGGGCCACAAACGGCAGAGACCCTTCAGGAGACCCCCGCCCCCCCCCCCCCGACACACTCACCTTGGAGGGTCTGCAAGCACTGCCCCGTTTTGATATCCCAAATTTTCACGGTGGAGTCAGCATTGCCAGAGACGAGGATGTTGTCCCGCAACTCCATGCCACTGGTGAGGGACTGGTGCCCCATCAGGGTGTGCAAGCAGTTGCCGCTCTCGGCATCCCATACGCGGATTGAGGTGTCCAGGGAGCCGCTCACAATGTGGGTGCCATCAAACTGCCCAGTGGTAAGAGACAAGGATGCAAATAAGCAGCTCTGGAGACCCCCTACCCCGAGTCCTCTCCAGTGGGGAGACCCTCACCTGCAGAGAATAGACCCGGTTGGTGTGGCCTTGCAACGTGTGGGTGCAGCTCTCGGTCTCCGGATCCCAGACTTTTACCGTGTAGTCGTAGGCACCACTCACCACCTTATGCCCATCGTACTGGACGCAACGCACAGCAGCCACATGCCCCATTAGCACATGTAGGCACTGCCCGGTCTCTATATCCCAAAGACGGAGCGTGGCATCCCGGGAGCCACTCACCACCCTGCCAAGGGAAAGGAAGCAGCCTCAGCCTCGCATTTGACATCACAGGGAGCCCCAGCCGGCTTTCCGGACAGCCCTCTCCTGCCCCAGGCTCCTCTACCTAGCGTCATGGAGATGCATGCAGCGCACAGTCGAGGTGTGACCATAGAGAGTGTGCACGCATTCGCCCGTGTCTGCGTTCCACACTTTCAAGGTCCGGTCCGTAGAGCCACTGATGATGATATTGTCCCTCATCTGGGAGGACCAAACGCCACCGGTGTGTCCCACCAGAGTCTGCACACACTGCAGGAGAAGCGGAAGTTCAGAAGGGCCAGGCGGGGTAAGGAAGGCCTCCCCCGCAAGAGAAGCTGAACTGGGGCTCACCTCACCAGTGACGGCAGACCAAACCTTGAGCGTGTTGTCATCTGAGCCACTGACGATGCGGTTGCCGCAGAACTGGAGACAGGTGATGACGTGGTCATCGTGACCTTTGAGGACCTGCTCCAGGCACAAAACAACACCCCCCCCCCCGGATCAATGGCCCTGAGGAGCACAGAGCCCCCAGCCAGGTTTCCGATCTTTAAATGTGGACAAATGGGATCCGTATGTGATCTTTGGCTGCCCCACTTCTGGATCCTCCTCACTGGCAGCGCCTCTTCCTGAGCACGTGAAGGGCATTGAGGCCAGTTTGGAGACCACATTCCTGCCCTGGTTGCTGCGGAGACAGGCCTCGCAATCTGCCCCACTCCCAACCTTCACATTCCCTAGGGTAGATTCAGGGCGAGCAAGATAAAAAATGGAGGCTATTGGATGAAAGCGACCATGGAGTGGAGGGAGGGGGACGCTCTGCATACCTTGGGTGGCCGGGCATCTCCATTGCGCCAGTTCATATCAATGCGATGCTGCCGCAGAAAGGCCAGCTTCCAAGGGCTGTACATGAAGCCCGGGCTTGGCAGCCGTTGCTTACGCAGGCTCAGTGGCTCCTCGATACCTGCACAGAGGGGCCCGGGGGGGGGGGCATCAGGGCAAGGACAGTCAGGACAGCCTGCCCTGCAACAACCGGACAAGGCAAGGGGGAAGCTGGAGCTCACCTCCATTGCGGCACTTCTCCCGCCAGAGCAGGTTGTCTTCGGCCAGGATGCGCCAGTAGCGACACGTCTGCGCAGCTCGAAGCAGGTCCCGAGGCTCCAGGAAGGAGAGGACGTAGAGAGCCAGCTGGAAGGGAAGGGAGAGCTGCGACTTGGAGGGTGTTCAAAGCCCAGATGATGCACTCGGGGCGCGAGCCACCCGGAGCCCACCGGAGCTTGCCTCCTTTGGACAGGACCCGTCTGGCTAGATGCTGTGCCAGTAACTGCAACTGCTCAAGGGCAATGACATGTAGCAGCCCCCCCCCCTCCCACTTCTCCTCTGGAGACCTTTCCAGGTGGCTCTGAAAAGCTGGACTGACTCATCCATGCCCTCTGAAGGTCTGCTGCGTGCCCCAGGACCTAGCCAGGAAGAGCCCAGCCTCCCTACCTGGGCTTGCCCCACTTGCTTCTCCCTTTGGCCTTCTTTGGGGTCATTCAGTTTTTACCAAGTTCAAGCCCTCTTTGCTACCATCCCAGAAGGCAGACGTCCCAGGCTCCCTGACCCTTTCCGATTTCCTTGTGCCATTGTTCTCTCCTTTTGTCTCCCCTCGAACTTTATACTCTTTCTCCAGTTATGTTCCTGCTCCCCTTTCAGTGGGACTGCCTGAAACTCTCTAACAATGTCATTCATGCTTACACTTCTGTAAAAAGACTCTTCTTGTGCCAAACAATCTCCGCTCAACTACGTCACACCCGGCACTATGCGAGGCCTCCTTCCAAACAGAGCACGCACCTCCTTCGGCAGAAGCGAGATGAAGTCACGCTGGAACTGGGGCTCAATCACTTGCATCATGTGCTTAATCTGGGGAGGCTCACAGCTGTCAATGAGCTCATCTAGGGCTAGCAGCTTCTCTGGGCCACTCCAGCGCTGACAGGAAGCCAAAGCAGGGTACACAGAGTAGAAAAAGGACAAAGAAGAAAAAGTTTGTTCTTTTGATCCTGCTACAAACAGTAGCAACAACTAAAAATGTTTTAAGCTTGTTGCATCTACAGCCATGGTTCTGCAAACGTCCCATAGAAAAAAAACAAGACCAGTGCCGCAACCCACAAAGCCAATCCTTCCAAACCCCCAGATGGGCCTCCTTGCTAGAAGTCCTAAACCTGCCATCTGCTCACCTGGAAAGTGCGTAACCAGTCCTGCAGCTCAGGGGGCGGAGCCACGGGGGGGACGTGCCGGCATCGTGCCTGGCCGGCCTTGGCATTCCGAAGATCCCCAAAAGTGGCTGCAGGCCGAGCGATGCAGGGACCCAGCATCCTGAGGACAGATCAAAGGGTTTTTTTCCCTAGCAAGCGCCCCAACTCCTGCCCCGCATCGCTCACTCACACACAGACACCCACCTGCCCCGCTCGGAACTTTTGCAGAGCTTCTTCCCCGGGGACTGGGCTCTGCCCTCGGGGCCCCCGCCCTCTGACTTGCGCTTCATCTGCAGCAGGGAGAGACAAGGACATCAGCAGCCCCAGCCAGCTGGGGTAAAGGGAGGAGGCGGCCGGCCGGATCCCTCCCGAAGCAAGCCGGCTCCGCGGCCCCGCCCTGCCGCCCCTCAAATCAAGCTCCTGCCGAGTCTGCCAAGTTGCAAAACCCCGAAGCCGGCTGCGGAGGGCGAAGCCTGCCCGGCGGGCTTCTCGCAGCCCCAGCCCCAGCCCCGCCTTCCCTACCTTGGGCCGGGAGTGCTGGAGGAGCCCCCCGCCCTCCGTCCGCTCCACATAGTCGATCCAGCGCTCGTCCACCGTGTAGTAGAAGTAGCCGTCCCCGCCCGCCTCGTCGCCGTCGCTGCTCTCCTCCGAGTCGCCGCTGCCCCGCGGAGAACCGGGCCGGCCGCCGCGCTCAGGACTGCGCACCGGCCCTCCGGGGCTACGGACAGCGGCAACTTCCCCGCGCGGTCCTCCCGCTCCGCCGCCGCCATCCTGTGAAGAGGAAGGGCGGGCGAGGCTGCGTGGCTCCGCGGCCTCCCTGCCGGGGCGGGGAGAGCCCTGGGCGGCGAGGCCGGGGCGCCGTCGCGGGGGGCGGTCGGGCGTCTCCGGCCGGTGCGAGCAGGTCACGCGCTGGCGGTTCAGCTCCAGGATCCGGGCGGTGATGCCCTTGACACGCAGCAGGTCCTCCAGGCGGGCGAAGCCCCTCAGCTCCTGCGCGGGCCGGGAGACGGTCAGGCGGGCGCCCTCGGAGACCCCCGCCCGGATCAGCCACGGCCGCCACCGCCTCCCGAGCCGCCGCTCACCTCCCTCTTGCGCACGATCCCCCGCGCTCGGCGGTGCCCGATCCCGACCAGCGCCCGCTCAAGCTCCGCCGCGCCGGCCCGGTTGACATCTATCCTGCCGCCCCCGGACCCGGACCCCGACATCGCCGCCGCCGCGCTCGGCCCGCTGCCGCGCGCCTGCGCACGACACCCGCCCCGCCTACATTTCCCAGAGAGCCACACAGGAACCGCCACTCGCCAGCAAGACGGGCCTTTATTGGTCGGGAACCCCGACGTCACCGGCGCTTGTACAGGCAGGGCCGTAGCACCAGTCCGCGCAGCTCGGCCGCTTTCGCCGCCTCCGCCAGGTCGGTCTTGCGCAGCTCGAAAGTGTAGAAGTGGCTGCCCGAGACGTCCTGCGGAGGGAGAGGCCGTCGGAGGGGTCCGGGGCAGCCAGGCCCCGCCCGCCCGCCCGCCCACCTACCTTGGAGGTCAGCCGGAAGCCCAGCCGGGCCAGCGCTCCTAGGAAGGCCCGCAGGTCCGCGAAGCGGCTCGCCACCTCGGCCACCAGCAGCGTCCCCCTGCGGCGCAGAGAAAGAGCGCGAGTGTTCGGCCGGCCTGCCTCGGGAATCCGCCCAGCGGCCGCTCCCCCGCGCCCCTTCCCTTACCCGGCTCGCAGGACGCGGTGCGCCTCTTGCAGGATCTCGCGCAGGTTGGTCCCCATCAGCGCCAGACAGAAGACGGCCACGTCCACGGAGGCGTCCTCCAGCGGCACCTGGGGGCGGCAAGAAACCCTGTCCGGCGGGGCGAACAGGCGGGGCCTGGGGACGGGGAGGGAGGCGGTCCAGCTGGCCTACCTGGGCCATGTCGCAGACGGTCACCCGCGGGTCCAGGGCCGCCAGGTCGAAGCAGTGTACCCGATTGGGCAGGCTGCGAGCCAGGGTGCAATCCCCGCAGCCAAAGTCGGCCACAACCAGGGAGGCTGGTCTGCAGGGTGGAGACGGCAAGTTAGCACAGGCGGAACAGCCTCCCAGCGCCCGATATACAGCCTGGCCAGGAGTTTTGAGTCTGGGGAGGCGGTAGGCAAAAAAGCCCCCACCAGAAGAAAGCCTGCCACATGGAGGGAGGAGGGGCAATAGGAGGCTTACTTTTTTTTTCAAAGCTTGGAGTAAGGGCAGTTCCTCCAATGAACTCAAAATTACTTTTCTGTATCCAAATAAATCTGCTTGTCCTACTGGCTCCTTTATATTCTTTGTTCATTCCCTGCCCCAGGGAAGCCCTTCCAGCAGGCATGCCAAGGGACAAAGGCATTTTTGTAGCATTTGCAAAAACAGCAGGACAGAGCAGTCATACAGAAAAGATTGTGGCCGCAAATTCAACCAGAAAAGAAGCTTGTAGAGTCCTAAATGAGAACTGGGCCAAAGCCCACATCTCAAGCCACAGCAGGGCTCAGAGCTCATAGATCGCAACAGCCACAACCTCAGATCCTCAGACAGGCCTCTCCCGCAGTCCAGGGAGCCCCCACCCCAATCCACCCCACTGGACTGAGCTCACTCTGACCTACGGTGAAGATAGTGCACAAAGCGCTCCACGGGTCGCTCGGGCCAGTGGGCTGCCTGCAGGGCAAAACCTCGGTGGTAGACACCTAATGCCTCAGGGTCCTCCTGGAAAAGCTGGGCTGCCTCTTGGCTGGAGCGTGTGTAGAGCAGCTGGTTGATGTAGCGGAAACGAGCGGCCTCTAGGCGGCTCTCTAGGCGCTGCCGCAGGGACGATGTCTGCCTGCCAGGCACCTTGCTATCTGGGGTCGGGCCTCCCTGTTCATCAAGAGGGTCATCTGCCCCAGAAGACGCCCGGCCATCGGAGGCCTTGAATTTGTTCTTCTGCCGCCGCTTGTTCTTCTGCCGGTTTCTCCACTGTTTCCTGGTCAGCTGCTGCCTCAGTTCCTGGGCTGCTCGGCCAGCATTGCCGTCTCCCGTGCTGGACGCCGGGCTGTCCTCCTTCGCATCAGGCCCGAGAGGCTGGTCTACGACAGCCACCCCTGCCAGGCCACGCAGCCGAGATCTCCGCCCATTGATTCGTTTTAAGTGGCGGGAGCGAACGCTCTTCGCATCCAGGCGGGGGTGAGACGAAAGAGCAGAGCGGCCTCGTGCCCTCTCAGCCCGCTCGCTTGTTACCGCCGGATCCCCGGCCACGCAGCCTGGCTCCTCCGAGCGGATCACGGCGCCCAGTCCCCGAAGAGGCTCCTCCGATAGCCGCGCGATTCCGGACGGCAGACCTATTCTCGCAGGTGGTCGAGGCGGCTCGGCTCTCCCTCGGGCCGTAGGCAGCGCGCTGGGTGGAGGCGATCCACTCCCCTCGGTACCTGGCGCCCGCCGGCCTCCCCGCTTCTCACCGGCCGCCGTGGCACAACGGTGCCCGCCCGCGCTCTCGGCCGCCTCGTCTCCGCGCAGCCGGCCGCCCGGAACTCTCTTGTCCGCCTCCGAGCCCGCAAGGCCGCGCGTTCCCTCAGGCCGTGGTCGCCGGCGCAGGGCGGCCCGGAGGCGCTGCCGGGAAAGGAGCCATGCCCGCCCCGCGAATAATCCCGCGGCCAGGCTCCTCCGCGCCGGCATCGTCTCCGCGGCCGCCGGAAACCGCGCGCCGGAACATGCGCAACGCCTAGCGCCGCGGAGAGGCCCGCGCGAGCTCCCCCTGGCGGCGGGAGGGCGGCGCCGCGCCCGGTCGGCCGCTGTCTCCAGCTGGCCTGGACGGGCGGGGCGGGGTGGGGCGGGGCGAACGGCGCGGAGCGGCCACACCCGGAGCGCGCGGGGAAGACGGCGGCGGCGGAGGGCGCGGGGCGATGGACGATATCTTCACGCAGTGCCGCGAGGGCAACGCGGTGGCCGTGCGCCTCTGGCTGGACAACACCGAGAACGACCTCAACCAGGGGTGAGCGGCGGGCGGGGGCAGCTCAGGAAGGAGCCGGGGCCGGCGGCCTTTCCCCGCTCGCGGTTTTTCCGGGAGCGCCGTTGCTGAGCGGCCGGCGGGCCTGGGTAGGGGGGAGCTGGTCGGCGGCGGAGCAACTCCGGCCGTTCGTTGGGAGCTTGGCCCCTGCGCCGGGCCGGGCCTCTGGTCGGTGGGCACTGGCCCCGAGGGCTGCCCGCGCGACCCCCGTCCCAGCGGAAGCCGTGGCCGACCGGAGCGCCTCCCCGTCCCACTCCGATCTCCTTTTAAGGGCCGCCCGCTGGCGCTGCCCGCCCAGGCGGCGGAGGAGGGAGAGGCTGGGCGCTGCCTCCCGCCACCGCTTCCCTCCCTCGCTTCCTCCTTTCCTGGCAGGGACGACCATGGCTTCAGCCCCCTGCACTGGGCTTGCCGCGAAGGGCGCTCCAGCGTGGTGGACATGTTGGTCATGCGAGGCGCCCGCATCAACGTCATGAACCGGGGAGACGACACCCCCTTGCACCTGGCTGCCAGCCACGGGCACCGGGACATCGTGCAGAAGGTGGGGGGCGGGGCAGGGGCGGGTGGGGTGGGGGTGGGGGGTTGCTGCGGTTCTGATGCCCTGACTCTCCCTTCTCTCGCGGTGCAGCTGATCCAGTTCAAGGCAGACATCAATGCTGCCAACGAGCATGGCAACACCCCTCTCCATTACGCCTGCTTCTGGGCCCAAGAGCAGGTGGCCGAGGTGTGTGGGGGCTTCCAGGGGGGCTGCAGTGATCGGGTCGGTTGGGCTATGAGTAAGGGCTGTCTCCCTGCCTCACCTTCCCTCCCTGTTGCTGCCAGGACCTGGTGGCCAGTGGGGCGCTGGTTAGCATCTGCAACAAGTACGGAGAGACGCCCCTGGACAAGGCAAAAGAGCCCCTGCGGGATACACTGAGAGGTGCGCCCCTCTTCTAGTTGACCTCTGACCTCTTCCTTCTGCTGCTCTTTGGTGGGAGGGGCAGAGTTAGCCCAAGGACCTGCCTCTCCATTAACCCCGCAGGCTGGTGCCATGAGTGATTCTTTTCCTTGTGTGAAGCAAGTCACCAGGCTGTCGCCTCGAAACTCAGGCAACCCAAATTCGGTATGGAGCTTGGAGTTAGAACCAGGACCTTCTGGCGGGGATGGCACGTCTCCCTTGGCATGTCTGGAGAGGCCAGGGCTGAGGACGATGCCATCTCAGGCCCCTCGTGCATTGGGGGAGAGGACAGGGAGCTGCCTGCCCTCACAGGCACAGGGGAGGATCAGCTGCTGGCAGGCAGTGGTGCTGATACGCAGCATAGCCCCTCTGAGGAGGAACAGCTGCCTCCCCCCCCCCTCGATCCAAGGGCACCGAGAGCAGAGCTTAGGCAAGCCCAGGAAACGTCTACTCCAGGGAGATTCTCAACCATCCAGGTTGTGGCTGTCGCCAAGGAGCTTTTCCAAGAGGCAGCTGGACTTTCTGGCTTTTCTTTCAAGACGTTTCACTTCTCATCCAAGAAGCTTCTGCAGTTCTTTAAGAGCTTCAGAAGCGAAGAAGCTTCTTGACTGAGAAGTAAAACATCTTCAAAGAAAAAAACAGAAAATCCTGGTGCCTCTTGAAAAAGCACCTTCAGGACAGACATGACGTGCATGACAAAGAATTTCCATAGACAAGTAATTTGTGCTAAATAATCATTTATTAAGGAGGAGTAACAGAGATCTTGGTGTCCTAGTGCAGGGGTCCCCAACCACCGGTCCGCGGACCGGTACCGGTCCGCGGAACAACTACCGGGCCGCGGCTTGCTGGGCGCCGCCATCTTTTTTTCATGAAAAAGTGCTTCCGGTGAGCTTTTCCGGGTAGAAAGCTCACCGGAAGCACGTTTTCATCAAAAAAAGATGGCGGCGCCCAGCTGATGCCGGTACAGGGCCGCAGCGCCCAGCTGATGCCGGCACCGGGCCGCGGCGTCAAAAAGGTTGGGGATCACTGTCCTAGTGGACCATCACTGAGCCAGCAATGTGTTGTAGCTGCCAAAATAGCCAACACAATCCTGGGATAATGTCAAGAGAAACGCTAGTACCGCTTTATACTGCACTAGCGAGGAATGCTATGTCCAGTTCTGGTCTTCCCAATACCAAAAAATCCTGTGGCCTAAAAAACATGCACAGAATAGCAGCAATGAGGAGTCTGGAGGTATGAAGAACGTTGTAGGGGAGACGGGCGACATAGAAAATAAGGAAACGAATGACAAAGGAAACCGGTTGTGCCTGGCCTACTGAAGAGAAGGATTAGGGGGGACAGGATGACTCTCTTCCAGGACTTGAGGGGCCACCCCAGAGAGGAGGAGACTGACTTGTTCTCCAAAGCAGGGGTCACCAACCTTTTGGAGTTCAGTGACCACCAAACTCATAATTTTAGATCCCAGGGACTACTAACTGGTTCTGTGGGCGTGGCCTAATTTGTGGGTGTGACTTGGTCATGTGACTGGCTGTGCTTGGCTCGTATGTAACTATTACAAATATTTATATAAATATCGAACTTTTTATAAAAAAAGATCAACTTTTACCCAAAATCAGGCAAAGCAGGCAGGCAGATTGAGTTGCTCAAAGAATCACCATTCAGAGATCGATCTATCTGCCATCGGCTAGCTCAGTGTCACATAAAATTTGCTTGCAAGTAAACCTTCAGTCCTAAGGGAGGTTCAGCTGTATTTAAAAGCAGAGCTGAAGTTCTAAAGGTTAGCTAGAAAGCAAGAAATCCAACCATTTCTTGCTTCCTAGCTAATCTAAATCTCCCGGCACATCAGAACAGATGATGGTCGGAAAAAGGAAAAATAGCAATTTAGCAAGCAAGTTTGCTGGGTAAGGAGTGAGTGGGCGGGTGGGGGGGCATGTGGGTGGTGCAGCCTTGTGTTCCTGCGCAGCCTGGATTGCTTTGGGGGGGGTGCTCTGGAGTTGAGATTTCTCTGCGGCCCACCAAAAAATTTTCACGGCTGGCGAACGCTGCTCCAAAGCACCTGAAGGCAGGACAAGAAGCGACACGTAGAGACGCTTGTGAAAGAGACAGATTTTCTGGCTGGGAAAATTCAATGGTTCAATGGAACAGCTTCCCTCCCAGGACTGTGGGTGCTCCATCGCTGGAGGTTCGACCAGGATTGTATAAGGTCTCCTGCCTTGACCAGGGGGTTGGACTGGGAGACTTCTGAGGTCTCTTCCGGCCCTAGCAGTCTGTCTTCCACATTCATTCCACGAGGCCCCAAGGCAAAAACTGGGTTCCCCAAAAACTCCAGAGCTTTTTCAGTCCATCTATGCGTTGGCTCCCCTCCCTCCTCCCGCCAGTTTCCTTGGGTAAATTTGGGGAGGGGTGACTGGGGGAAGGAATGGCGGTCAAGCCTCCTTTCCTGGGACGCTGCTCTCCAGCCTCCCTGACCATTCCCTCTGCTCTCCCTCCAGAGCGTGCAGAGAAGTCCGGCCAAAGCCTGACGCGCCTCCCCTACAAGGACACGTTTTGGAAAGGCACCACACGGACTCGGCCACGTAAGAGATGGGGAGGCAGGGGGGCTCCTGGGCCAGAGCGGAGGTGGGGGCCCCAACCCTCTCCTCGGGCCTTTCTCCTTTCCTAGGCAACGGCACCCTGAACAAGCTGGTGGGGATTGACTTCCGGCAGCTGAGCCTGGGCCACAAACTCAATGAGAACCAGTCTGGAGAGGTGCTGCTCCCAGCTCCCCTGCCCTGCCCTGGCACAGGTGGGGAGGGGGCTCCCCATTCCTGGCTCTGCCAGGTGCCCTGACCCCTCCGCTTCCCTGCAGCTCTGGAAGGGGCGCTGGCAGGGGAACGACATTGTCATCAAGGTCCTTAAGATCCGCGACTGGACAACCCGGAAGAGCCGGGACTTCAACGAGGAGTACCCCAAGCTCAGGTGAACTCCGGGGCAGGGGGGGGGGGGGGGGGGGGGCAGGCTTTGCTCTGCCCCTTGAGCAGCGCCCGGGCCTGCCTTTGGAAGTGCTGAAGCTGACCTGAGCCACCTCTTCCCCACAGGATTTTCTCCCACCCCAACGTGCTGCCAGTGCTGGGTGCCTGCCAGTCCCCCCCTGCTCCGCACCCCATCATCATCACCCACTGGATGCCCTACGGCTCCCTTTACAACGTGCTGCACGAAGGCACCAGTGAGTCTTGCCCCTAGCTGGGGTGGGGGCTCCTTACAGCCCAGCAAGGGGGGGGATGGGGGTCAGCAAGGACCCCAGTCACTGACTGGCTGCATGGAACCACCACTCTGGCCACTTTGCACCAGGCTGTTCCCACAACAGAAGCAGCCCAGAGTTGACACTGAGCCATATTTTATGGAAACTGAGGCCTGGCCAGGTGAAAATACGCCATGCAACCTCCCCCAGATTAAAATCACTTGCCCCAGGGCAACCTAAAGTATCCGTTGGACCACATCCATTGGGGGGGAAGAGGAGAAATCCAGCACCTCCCTTGCAGTATGTCAGGTGGAAATAACCCGGAAGAGTTTACTCCACGCTATCTTTGCCCAAGAGTCTGGTCTCCTGATGGCCAAGGCAAACTGGCACCAGATAAAAGTCCATTCACTGGGGGGGGGGAGGGGCAGCCATTTGGGTTCCTTTTGAGAGTCTAGCGCCTCATCATCCAAAGTGACAGGCTGGGTGACCCGGCCCTCGGACTCTGCTTGGTCATCCCCTGCAGGTCTTTGGTGAGGCACTGGTCTTCGGAGGGCCTGTAGGCAGCCCTTCTGTGGGGCTGCAACATCCCTGCCTGCTTCCCCTGGAGGCTGGATGTGGGCCCGGGTCCCTTGCAGCCTTTTTCCTTCCTCCTCTGCAGTCCTGGGGTATAACCCCACTGCACTGGGAGCCCCGACCTCTCTGGGTGCAGTGGCCTTGCTGCCTTACTAGAAAGCATTTCCACCCCTGCCAGTAAAAAGTGTGAATTTTTTTATGCCTCTTTTGGCTGGAATTCCTTCGAGAGAGGAGCTGTGGGAGAGCAACTGGCTCAACTTCTCTATAGAAAGTGGAAAAAAAGGAGGGAGGGAGGGAGGGAAAGTTCAGAACAAATCACTAATCACCTGAACAGCCAGGGCATCTCTGCCAAGACCTGAACGGACACCACCTCTTGCCCACAGGGCCTGCTTTTCCTTCTAATTTTGGGCATGGCTTTGTGCCCTTCAACCAAGCCACTTTCTCTGGGTTAGAGGACCCAAGGGCTGGAGGTGCCTTTGGTGGAGGGAGTTGCCATCCCAGATGCCTGCTGCAGGGGCTGAGCAACTGGGAGGAAGGGCTCCTCTCCACCCATAAGGGTGGGCTTCACTCACTGTCCAAGGAGAGGTCCAAGATCTTCCCAAGAGCCGTCTGGGAACATGGTGTGAGAGGAGTGCCTGGCAGCCGAAGTGGGCATCCAGGCGGTTGGGCTGCTCCAAGGCTCTGAGCTGGCTCCAAGTCTTGCCCCGAGTGGGCTTTGGGTCATCCGTTCCCCTTGAGGCTCTTTTCCCCAGTCCCTCTGCCTTTCTGTGGGACGCAGGCCCCATGGATCTGCCTGTGGGGTTTTGTGCCAGTGCGGGAGAGGGGCTTGGGCACGCCTGTTCTCTTTCCACCCAGAGCAGGCCACGGACTCACTGAATTAGAGGCAGGAGGCGGATTCTGATAAAGCCTTAGAAGAAACGTGGTGTGGTGAAGAGTGGCTTAACGCCCTGGGGCTGGGGCAGGATGGCCCCAAAGGCACCTCCCAAGTTCCATCTCATAATCTCCGGTTAGCTGAAACTGACTGCCCCTCCGTCCCTGGTGTTCCCTGCCCTCCCCCCCACCTCGTTTCTCCAGACTTCGTGGTGGACCAAATGCAGGCAGTGAAATTTGCCCTGGACGTATCTCGGGGAATGGCCTTCCTGCACACCTTGGAACCGCTCCTCCCGCGTCACTATCTCAACAGCCGTGGCATCATGGTCAGTTGGGGGCAGGCAGGGAGGTTGGCGCGCTGGGCAGAGTGGACCCCCAAGGCACAACCTCACCCGGTCTCTTCCCCGGAACAGATAGACGAGGACATGACGGCGAGGATTGGCATGGCGGATGTGAAGTTTTCCTTCCAGTGCCCAGGCAGGATGTACGCCCCAGCTTGGGTGGCACCAGAAGGTGAGGGGGGGGCGGCAAGTGATTCTCTGCTTCCCCTGCCAAGCACATCTGCAGCTTCTGCCAGGCAGCTCCTCCCTCTTCCTCCTCACAGCTCTACAGAAGAAGGCCGAGGAGATTAACCGGCGTTCGGCAGACATGTGGAGTTTTGCAGTGCTCCTGTGGGAACTGGTGACCCGGGAAGTGCCGTTCGCTGACCTCTCCAACATGGAGATTGGCATGAAGGTGAGCTTTGGCGGGAGGACGAAAGGGTTCTGCTCGGCTGTCCGGCAGGTGCCAGTGAGGTTCTGGTGTCTCTTTGTAGGTCGCTCTGGAGGGGCTGCGACCCACCATCCCGCCCGGCATCTCCCCTCATATTTGCAAGCTGATGAAGATCTGCATGAACGAAGACCCTGCCAAGCGCCCCAAATTTGACATGATTGTCCCTATTCTTGAAAAGATGCAGGAGAAGTGAGGGGGCCCCTCCGACAGCCACTAGCCGGCCCCAAGTGCCTTCAGGAAGAGCCAAGGGCTGGAGCGAGGACTCCCTGCACATGGTACGGATTGGGAGGGCGAGCTCCAGAAGGGGACTGCTCGGCCTTGCACTCTCCCTGCTACGTTCACGCCCCCACCCTGTATCTCTGGCCACCTCTCGTGCCAAGACCACCCTGCACTCCCACCTGGCTGTGCTACAGTTTTTATCTTTTCTACACAGGCCCAGGACAAAGCCCCCTGTGGCCTAAATAAACCGCTGTCACTGAAGGAGGAGAGCCTTTTGTGCTGCTTCCATGGGGAGGGAATGGGGGGGGGGGGGGGTGGGGGTCTCAGCAGCCTCTGGGAACCGCATTTGAGCTGAGATGGGAACCGCATTTGCAAGAAATCCTTTTGCCACAGAGAGGTGCACCTTCCCCCCACCAATAGGTAGCTGGGAAGAGGCACCTCCTGCCCTCTGGGCCAGAACAAAAGGCTGAGTTGGGGGAGGGGAAGGGAGGGTTGTCACTGCCTGAGGTGGGAGGACAGAGCAACAGTGTGGTGGGGGCTTTGGGCTTTGTAAGGAAGGAGGCAGGCAGGTGCAAAGCCCAGGGAGGGAGGGAATGGGCTGGTGCTGAGCGAAAGCTCCAGCCAGGTGTGCCCCCCCCTCCCATTCGGTAGGCATCCTCTGCCCACCAGCAGCAGAGCCTCCAACGCCAGAGCCTCCTCGCAGGGCAGCAGGAGGTCCTGCCAGTAACCAGAGCAAAAGAGGGGGAGCGAGGAAGGGACTTTAATGAGGAACGGGGTGGGGGAGGGAGGGGTTCTTAGGTGAAATAGTGGGGCTTCTTAACGTTGATGCCGTACTCGGCCAGCGCAGGGGCCAGGTCCTCCATGGTCAGTGTGTGCTTCTTGTCCTGCGAGGAGGAGAGGCAGCAGCAGTCGAGGGGTCAGCGCCCCCTCCCCAAAGCGCCCGCTGCCCCCTCCCCACCCACCTTGCTCTTGTTGCGCGAGCTGCAGGAGGCCGTGCCCTTCATCTTGCAGTGCTGCAGGGCGTCGTTGGCCACGTCCGAGATGAACTTCTGGGCCGCCAGCGAGACAAGCCGGATGCTGCGGGGAGGGAGGGAGGGAGGGTTGGCTCGGTTCAGCCGGGCTCGCCCGGGAGCCCCGGGAGCCCCGCCACACTCACATGCGCGGGTCCGACGCCTCGAAGCCGGCACGGTTCAGGTAGTAGCCGGTCACGGCGTCCGGGATCTGCAAGAGCGGGGCTAAAGTCAGGCGCGCACGGGCCGCCGCCCGCAGCCGCCCCGCCCGCCCCGCTCGCCCGGCACCCACCGTGGGCGTGTAGTCCTCCAGCTGCAGCAGGAAGTCTACCAGCGGCGCTCCGGACGAAGCCGAGCCGGGCGGAGGGGCGGCGGCGGCGGCCTTGGCGTCCCCGTTGGCGGCGCCCGCGGGCGGCGCGAAGACTCCGTTGGGCAGCGGCGGCGGCGGCCCCTCGATGGGCTGCGCCAGGGAGGCGGCGGCGGCGAGCCCTGCGGGGGGGGACGCGTGAGAGCGGCCGGACGGCGTCGGGGGGGGACCTCGCCCCGGCCCGC